AGCCGGGGCCACAAGGCCATTGTTCAGATGCTCATCGAGGGCGGCGCGGACGTGAATATACAGGGTGGATTGGTTGACAATGCTCTAAGGGCTGCCTCGATTCGCGGGAATGAGGCCATTGTGCAGCTGTTGGTGGACAATGGCGCGGTTCGTGCAAGTAAACGCACCGTGTGAAGCTGGTCATGGGCAGCTTTTAGTCTCCATGGCGAATTGAGACGAGGCTACCTAGGTAGTAGGTAGGTAGCCAGTTGAACAAGGCCGGAATTTCGTCAAGTAACACTCATTATAACTCTTGACATTATTTGCACCCGTTCCGTGCTGTGCATGACATGACATGCATGCTCCGGGAAATGCCGTGTGACCAACTAGCAGCGCGGCTGACGCGGGAATGCGTCGTGTTTAGGACGTCAACAGACTCGAGGAGCAGGTTGGTTGGGCTTATCAAGATGACAAGACGCCCAAGATGCCCGTGGAGGATAAATATGTCGCGGGATGAAAGTCAGCATGTTCTGCAGGTAGTAAATTTACAATGTCGTGCGTCATGCCCCTAGCAAGCGGACCATGTCGGTTCGATAGGTAAATACCACGCGGAAGGGCAGGTACTTGGCTTCGTCCGCAGTTTACTATGACGAAGCCATGTGCCTCCCAAGCGGGTAACGTTAAAACGCGCGCCATAAGGTTAGGTACTCGATTCATAATAGGCCCCTGCTGCCACCTCAAACTCTTCTTCTTCATCGTCATTCCCAAAGTGACTCACCAACAACCGAAAGTCCTCCCCTGCTGCGCCTTTCAGTCCCGTCGCGTCCTTTTCCATCGCAGAAAACAACACAGCCATCCCCGAAGCCTCCAACCGCCGAGTCCATCGCTCCGCTATCTCGACTGTGCAAAGACAATAGTGCACAGCCGTCCAATTATCTCCCCCGTCTCATCACATTAGCTACATGCCCCGAGAGCCCCTTGCGACATCAGAATCGAGCACCTCCCCCGAAAACGTCCCAGCATCATCTTCCAGCTTAAAACATGGCTCTCTTCATCACGAACCCATCGGTCTCTACCGAGTGCACTCTGCCGCTTCCTCCAGCAGCCGCTCGTCCTCGTCGCGTCCTCCACGCGACTTGGTCGACGACGGTGTCGACGTTGACCAGCTCGACGAGAAGCTGCGCGGACTGAGGCTTCGCAACGCCAAAGGCAGTCGCCACAACAAATTATTTGCCTCTGCCCCTGGCCAGAGGATCGCCGACTATGAGAACGCGCTGACCCCGCCGACCCCTAAGCAGGCGCTGGGCTTCAAGGTCATCAAGCGCTCCGCCGGAGAACCCGGAGGGACTCGATTGACAGATATTCCAAATGGTTAGCAGCACCTCCTCACTGTCTCCTGCCGCCGCCCCAACGGAGCTAGTGCTGGTAACTGTCTTGATTCTAACATTGCTGCAGAGATCCTGACCAACATCCTGTCGCATTTGCATCCAGACTCCCATGGCGCTGTCGCACTCGTCTCCAAACGCTTCTACGTGCTGGCCACCACACCGCATATCTGGCGTTTGGCTTTTTTGCGCTACTTCCCCGGCCATGCTAGCCTCGATGAAAAGTTTGTCAAAGCTTCTGCTGACCTTTGGTCGGAGCCATCATCCGACATTGTGCGCTCCGAGACTCGCTACTTTGGCCGACTGACTCCGCTTGCTACCTGGCGAAGTGAGTATGTCTTCCGTACTAGACTCATCCGAAGTTTGGGCAAGGGTAAGCCAAACACCGCTGCCGGTGCCATTGGCTCGTCCATGCGCACCAGACAGTCGGGCAAAAAGTCTAGCGCTGTATTGACATACAACTCGAAACTTCCCTGGCTCATCACCAACATCCACGCCGTGTTCGACAATGGTAAGAAAGCTCCACGTGCCATCCAGGGCGCTGGCGCACTCGGCGTAGCCACCATGAGCGATCCTACTACTGGTAAGATTGAAAGCTGGGGCCTCAAAGACAGCCACTCTTCTGCTCAGATCGAAGAGGTGACACCTGGTCTTGAGCCATACGGACTCGGTGACGGCCCTGCATCTACAGACAACAGCATGGATGTCAGCCAGCTCTACGGCATGATCGCCGGCGAAGGCTTCCCAGGTGGCCGTGCCTACTTTCGCAGCGTCAATGAAATTGCTGGACGTTACCTTGGATCCGAGCCGGGTACTGAGGAACAGCGGCCTGACATTCCTCGCGTTCCCGACATCATCGAAGCCATTAGCAGTGTCTGGATTGCAAAGTCATCTGCTGTTCCAGCGACCACTGCAGCCATGTGTGGCATGTTGACAGGCTCTACTCTTGGTGTCGTCACTGCCTACTCCCTCGGATCTGACCCGAGCGGCCCAAGATATGCGTACGGTGACATGACCGCGCGCTGGGTCCTCAGCCCCGGCGTGCCGATTGTCTCGATCAAGGTGGATGACAACTACACTGTGCGCCGTCGACTGTCGGGCAGAGTATGGGCGGTGGCTTTGAACGCCCTCGGGGAAGTCTTTTATCTCACCGAGACTCCGAAGCCCGTGTCGTCTCAGCACTCCACAGGCAATGCTCTCGCCAATGCCTGGCTCGCTGGACGGTCTGCCTATTGGCATTTGGTAGAAGAGACGCGTAGATCTGCTCGCCCAGACGAGCTTGACCTCAATGCTGTTCGCGGCACCTACTCGCCGAGAACCTCCTGCAATGCCATGAACTTGAGCGACGACCAAGTTGCTGCCGAGACAAAAGAAGTTGAAAACTTTATGCGCTATCAGCCAAATCACTTCCTCGACGTTTGCCTGGGCTGGGACATGCAACGCAAGCTCGAGGTGGACTTTGCAAATGACGATGGTCAAGAGGCTGGTGAGGGCATTTTCGTCATTGACTGTGGGCATGGCCGGAAAGCCTGTGTCACTAGGTTCTGCCGATCAACCACTGCCCTGCGGCCTCTGGCTCCTGGAGGTGCCAAACCTGTACCGGCCATTCCTCCGTCTCTATTCGGGCAAGCTGGCATACAGAATACCCCAGAACCTCAATCTCCAGAATCGCCTCCTCCTACACCCTATTCGCCCAAGGATCCGTCTGCGCTCACGGACGAGTGGCGAGCTGTCTCTTTCCAACTCAAGGGGTCTGATAGTTCTATCCTCACGGCCAGCGCCCTGGACAACTCGACTTTCGCTGTCCTTACTCTTGGTGAGGATGTCTTGCATACCGCCAACGAAAGCCTTGTACTCAGTAGCACAGACGGAGCACGTCATGCCCAGGAAATTCCAGGCCGCAGAGCTCGCTTCCTCGTCGTGGGCACGAGCTCCGGCAGCGTTCTCGTATGGAATGCCAGAGAGATCCGGCCAGAAATAGTCAAGCCGTGCCGCGTTATTCAAACGGAATCGCCCTCGATCTCTTGTGTTGCAGCCTCGGCCTTGTACCTCGTGCACGGCGGCAGCGATGGTCTTGTTCAGGCTTGGGACCATTTGGCCTCGACATCGGAACCCATTCGCACCCTCAATGCTCGATCGAACGGCCGGGTGCCTCGCTACATGATGACCATGAATCCTACCCTGACCGTGGCCAACTACACTGCTGTGGGTGCCATTGTCCTCGATTCTGACCCAACGATCCTCCGTGGTGTGGTGGCCTTTGGTGCCTTTATGCGCTACTGGTCTTATAGCTCCAAGGGCAGCGCCCCAGGCCGAAAGCGACGCTTGCGACATCCCGATGCCCAGGGCCGCGCTGCTGGTCGTCGCTTCGGGAATAACGTCTCCGGCTACATCCTTGAAGAAGAGGAGGAGCTTCGCCACGAAAACGAGCATCGAGCTCGCGAGCAGTCTCGTCTGCATAAGCGTTTTGGTGTCGGCGCGCTCGGCGACCTGACCGAACAGGAGGCTCTCGAGTATATGCAGATGGTTTCGGAGGAGAGTTTCTTGGCTGATGAGACGCGCCGCGCGAGCGACTCGGCTGCCGATACGACTGGTGCAGATACAGCCTCGACCTCGAGCCACAGCACCGCAGACGCCACGACGCCCGAGGCCAGCTTCATCGAGTCCAGTTCTCTGCAGCAGAACCTGACCACTGACGATGAGGACGGGTACGAGGAGCAGATTCAGCAGGCCATTCGCCTGTCGCTGCTCGAAGGCGTCAATGACCGTGGTCAGTCCCCGCAGCGGAGCAGCCCGGATGAGTTTGAGTTTCCCATCACCTACAAGGCCAAGATCAAGGGCGGCAAGAAGAAGAATGGTGGCAGCCGACGCCAGAGCTCGTCGACGACGACGTCGACGTCTACCTCGTCCCCGCGCGTTCTCCCCGCCGTCACGGACAAGATGGCCTGCGTGGCCGACTCTTCCTCAGCCACTGGACACGCACCGCCGCACAGCGCCGCCGATGTCGACGCGGACCTTGCGCTCGCTCTCTGCATACAGGAAGAGGAGGAGCAAGCGCAGAGTCGCCGCCGTGCCCGTGAGCCGTTTTCCGAGGCCAGCCAGGACTTTCCGCCGCTGGCCGCCGGGCAGAGCACGAGCAAAGGCAAGGGCGTGACTAGGTGGTGAAGGAGACCTGATCCAGATTGTTGGAGGCTGTTGGATTGCATTACTTGGATCGTTTATGTTGTGCTTCCTTTTTATCTTTTACAAGCGTCGTCTGTAGACGAGCGCGCTCATATATCTATGTACCCTTCTCACGCCCCCATCTTGAGGCTGCCATCTCTGCAGAGGTGAGCCGGAAGAGGGTGGGCTTGCCACGATGCCATGGACATTGTCCATATAGATAGCATCATGTTATCGACGTAATTTAATACACTTGCTTACATTTTCTTTTCTTTATCCTCATCACCCTTGTATCAGTACATTTAATGATTGGTGAATGCTTTTGCCACCCACCACCGCAACATCTTTGTACCAGGGATCATGCGCATATATTTATATATATATTTGATTCCTCTGCATGCCTTCACTGTCGCAGAAGAAAAGAAAAGGCACAAGACAACTTGTTTTCATCAGAATTCGTTTTAAATTTGTGTATATGCTGCGTCTTGCGAGTATCAAGACTGTATGATATTAAATAACGATCCCCAAACAGATCACGGCCAGACCGTGAATATGTGTGAATCAACGGCGGCGACATTAGATTAAAAAGAAAAATAGAAAGCCAAACTCCGACAAATTTGTCCTGTTGCCTTTCCCATATACCGGAATTCCGGTGCCGTAAAATTCAAAACTTCGTATAAAGGTTGAGCCAATTTGCCCCCGATATTGTGTCCATGTAAACTCAAGTGAGAAGAAAGTGATGTCATCCAACGCATGTCCTGCTCTTTATAAAATGCAGATTCTCAGTGTATCATCCGAGTCTAGCCAAGAACCAAAACGCCAAAAACAATGCAGAGGCACCCAAGACCGACGCGCACGTCTGGTCGTAGCGAGTAGGCAGCGTCTTCTTCCCCTTTGCCAGTCTCCTGAGGAAGGGATTCGCCGGTTGCACGGCCAACGATGGTGGTGGTGACGGAGGTATCGAATGGATACCTCATCGTAGTGCTGGCCATGACGAGACCGATTGGTCCCATGGTCAAGGTCTGGTCGCCAATGGTGACGATTTTCGTGTCAACCCCGGGACCAACCGCATACGTCTCCCCATTCACAATCACCATCGAGGGAGGGAGCTTGGCAATAGTCGCTCCGCCAACAATCTCATAGTCAGTGTCGGTAGGCTGAGCGGACACGCCACCAATCGTGGAACCATGTACAATCACTCCAGTGGGCCCAATAGTGATTGTGTCGCCGTTGATGACCTGAACAATGGGAGCGCTGCCGCTCCCATACGTGTAAGTAACGGAATGGAGGACAACGACACTGCGGCCAATGACTGTAAGCATCTCGCCGCCGGCAACAACGACATCGGATGCGGCTGGTTTCGTGAGGGCCATGGTGTTGCCGCCGATGATTACTTCAGTCGGTTTGATAGTTACATCTTTGCCGTTGACGCGAACAGTACTCGAGCCGGATGTGGGAATAGGAAATGTGCCTCCGCCAATCTCGAGATTGGGACCTGCCGAAGTGACGGGGATACCACCCAAGACTGACGACGAGGGTCCCATTACTGATGGCGGTCGGGTAACGGTGGCACCTTGACCAACAACCGCGGTAGGGTTGATAGTAAACACTCCACCGTCATCAACGGTAACTACAGAAGTGCTTCCCGGAGCGACTGTAAACGTTTGCGTATTGATGACGACCGAACTTGGTCCAGCGGTAATCGTGTATGTTGGAGTAGCGGTTACAGAAGCAGGGCCGCCTCCGCCTCCGCCTCCGCCTCCGGCTCTGCTGACGGGCGTCTGATGCCCATCACCTCCCTCAACAGGTGTATGATCGCCGCCGTCGCCGCCAGTTGGCCAAGTTTGGCTGTAATTAGGAATAGGGTCCGATGGAAAAACAACAGACGGATTTTTGTCTGTAGTGATGAATGTCGTGACAGGAAGGTGCTGAAGTGCGGTCCGCAGAAATGGAAACTCGGCAGTGAGAGAGATCCCTTCAATGGTGAAGGTCTCTGTAATCATTGGCAAAATACCTAGGGGGCCGTCAGGTGTCCCGCCCAGGAATGGCGGCCTCGGAACTGCGGGATAGATATTGGGATCGCAGTAGTTTGGGGTGGCAAGGGGCGCATAAGGCGGCCTGTAGTCTGACCTGTTTCCTAAGAACGTGACCGTGGAGGTATGAACCACGAGGTACTCCGTGAATGTTTTGTGTATGGGTAGTGGCGTGCAGGCGGGCACTATTCTTATCGAGGTGCCGTTGTTGCAGCGCGGCGCGCCTCGTGTCCTAGTTCCATTTTGACTTGGTATGCGAGTTGCTGTTGAGTTGCAAGGAAGCCTGGTGATTGTATAGCCAGAAGGCAGGTTGGGCGGGAGAGACAGGTCGGCTGTAGTCTGGGTGATTGTATTTGTAGAATTCAGACCTGTGTTCGTAGTAACGGTTGGTGCTGTAGTTGTTTCATAAGCCGTGGTCGATGTCGTATTTAAAGATGAAAGTGGCATGGATGGCGCTTCGTGAGTGGAAAACGTTTCCGAGGTTGACTTGCGTCTCGACGTCGTCATACGTTTCGAAGTGAAGTCTGAGGGCGACGAAGGCTCGGAGGAAGAGATTTGCGGGCGATTGGGCGCATTGGGAGAGGTTGCGATGGTCAAGCGTGTTGTTAGGGATGTAGTTAGGGATGTTGGTAGAGACGTGGACGTTGTAGAGGGCGTTGTAGAAGAGGTTGTGAAAAATGTTGCGAAAGACATCGACGAGGATGTTGACGAGGATATTGATGAAGAGCTTGTGGAGAATAATGATATTGAAGCAGAGATTGAGAAAGCGGTCGGGGAAGATGCTTGTATTGGAGGTTCACTGTCAGTGGCCAAGGATTGAGCTTCGGTTACCGGCAATGTGGTGGACTTGGTGTTTAAATCAGGCGAGTGGTGCGCCGAACTTGAGGAGCTGTTTGAAATAGTATATGGCGGAGAGCCCGTATGAGGGGCTTCTACACGTTGGGGTGGTTAGCAATCCGAGTTTTAGCGCCATCAGACATGGTACCTCTGGTGGCACCAGCGAGCAAGGCGATTGCCGGTGACATGAAGCTTTCGAATTCGCGTAGAGGCGCATTCGGCAGAGTGACTTACCATTTCTCGCAATAGCGGACGCGGGTGAAGCGACGAGGGCTGCAGCTAGCAGCAGAACAGTGTCGACTCTCATGGTAACTGTAGCTGGCTGCGTTTGAAGCGCGAGCGACAACTGTCAGCCGGCGAGAGGGCCAAGTGGTAGAGCAGACTAGAGTATGACAGGCGATTGTCGTGGGCATTGAGGCGACTGGGTATGCTATATGCGGATGAGCAACATGGCTGTAGAACGACAACGAGGCGAGAATAACAATGAAGCGGCGGGCGTTTGGCAAGGCAATCCAAAGATAAGATCGGGAGCGGTCTTGTTGGGCAAGCGGCAATAGCAGATCCGCGGTGGCTGTCGAGGCGACAGCAACGAAGCGGCGGGCGATGCGGCAAGACAAGAGATGAGATCGGGAATGGTCTTGGTAGGCAGATCCGCGGTGGCTGTCGAGGCCTGAGGTGCGTCACCGTGTGTGGTGAGGCTTTGGTAGGCACGTTGGCGCGGAAGTAAGCGGCGAATTGTCAGACAAGTGACAATGAGTTTGTTCGTCGCTTGAGGGACACAATGGTAGAATGTCTAGCAGATGCGGGCGCAAAGGAGAGCAAAAGCGATTGCCTAGCAAACAGAGACACAGAACCGGCACGCGTGGTAGGAAGTCTTGGAGGTGGACGGGAGATGGAGGAAAAGGCGGACAAGTGACGAAAGGTTTCGAAGATGAGATTTTGTCTCGGCGATGGAGAAGAAAGAAGTGAGGTAAGAAAGACAAGTAGAGTGGGAGAGACGTGAGGGAGGCCTGTTGGGAATGGGGAGGAGAGAGAAGATGTGAGATTAACAGATGGATGGGCAGATGGGCAGATTGGCAGATTGGCGGATTGGAGAGACAAAAAGCAGCGGCAGCGGCCAGCAGAGTGAGTGAGTGAGTCGAGTGGAAGCGGTTGAGGCAATCAGGCAGGGTCAGGAAAAATCACTTCTTGGTGGCAGGTACTCAGCTCTACTACTTTGTACGATGGCAGCTGAAGAGGGCGTTTTTTTAGGGGACTTGGAGGACCTTGGTGAGGGACTGAGGGTCCGGAGATGGGTTCAGGCGGAGAAAGAGCGGGCTCAGCGGATTATAGCGGGTTCAAGCCCTGGGTTAGTCTGAGCGACCTGGCAGATGGCTTTTTAGCGGTCGACTTGAGACAATTGGATGATTGCCTACGAATACTTGTGAGATACCGGTAATAAGTTGTGGTCAAAGGCAACCTGCTTAGATACCTGCCTACTCAACTAATCCGTACTTATCTAGGTAATAAATTAGTGGCCAATTCCTACCTACTAGTGCTTGAGTGAGTGGGTTTTGGGGAGAGCCCTAATGGTGGACTGCATCTGATGGAAGGGCTGGAATTTTTCTCATCGGACATGGATAGTCAACAGCAACGGCTCTCGCTCTCACAATCATCTGATTCCTGCCTTTGTTCGAAAATGCTGTCGCCAGTCACCTCGAGTACCACGTTACGCAGCAGCAGCATCACCAGCAGCCAAGCACAAGGCTGGTTCAAGAGGAGGCGGGGGGGGGGGGCCTGGCTAGCCTCTGCTCCCAACGGACCTAACTATTCGGGACAAAGCTAGGTGAGCCGCTATGAGCCAGAAGGGCAAGTGGCCAGCGCTGGCGAAGATCATTGCGTGGAGCCCGCTGCCACTGCGACTTTCCTCTCCTCCAGCCCGTCCCAGGTTCACGCACTGCGGGGCTGGTGCATGACGCCGATGGATCGAATACCGGACCAGCATCGTGTCGTCTGTGGGCTCTCATTTTGATGAACAGTGTTGACAGTACGTACTCACATGCTCATGAATTTGTACTCCATGTCGGACTGTGCAAGTACATGCTGCATCAAGACTTGACTACTCCTCACCGACAACCACTTCAACAAAGTCATCCATCAATTCTGCCACCAAAAGACCAACCTCATAAACACCAAACACATGTGCAATTCGTACTTGTCGGCTCCTTAAACCTCTTCTCTCTCGCCCACCACCGGCGAGCGCCGCAGTCATGGCGGATGTTGCTCTGAATAGCTAGTTGCTCACCGCGATTTGACTTCTTTTTCCCATCTGTATCCGTACTCTTTAATATTTCGTACATAAAATGGCTACCAAACATTGATCCCCCTTTGCGAAAAACTTAGTGACATGCTGACCCCAGTTGTTGCCAGCGAGTCTAACCGACACGGGCTTTGTGGCGCCGCCGCCCTTGCTTTGCCTTTCGCTAAAATACCGAGCAGTCCCCTGTACCCAGCAACTAGGGCCATGTATCATGTCATTTTAGCTAGCAGTCTAGTTAGCACAATGGCCCTTGTTTTCCATCTAGTCTAATTAATAACTGGAGATGGCATCTTGCCGCCATTGCTAAGTTATATTTCCTATTGTGGTAGTCTTCTATACCTATACCCGTGGGTGTGAGGCTCGCGAGACTTATGACGAAATTCCGCAAGCTCGTTAAGGGAAGGTGCTTTTTAAAAAGCATCGGCACGGGATGATTTCTTTTACGGAATTTTACAAATAAAGAACAAAAGAGAACGACAGAGTCATGTCTCAGAATTGACGCGCAAGGGAGATGCCGCGCCCAAGCTCGTGCAAAAATTGCACACACAGTGCTGCCCACACTGTACATACTGTACTACCGACTGTCGCGGCCCCCATCCCGGCCCCTTATAAGCGGCATGACATGCCCCGATCTTGCCGGCTCGGGTCATTGCGCCGGTGGCAGCTCTTGTTTACTGAGTATGGTCGAGATTCTATCCCGCCACGCCTGTCTAAGCCAGCCCAAATCACCAGTACGAATAGCTGCCCTTTCCAGTTTTTTTCTTCTTCTTCTTCATCTCTTTCCACGATGTTTTAAAGCGGCTTCCTCATCTTCATCGGCTCGTTGTCCCTCTCATCATGTTCGGTGGGGGTCCACGGGTAGCTGGAATGCTGGCATGGTCCGAGGTAGCATTCTGGCCCGCTTGAAGCATCTGACATGGGTCACCCGCGTCAAAGAAGGAGTGC